ATATTAGAAAATGTCAAATCGATGCACAGTTCATTCAACTAAGCACTTTCTTAGCAGTAGGAAAACCTGCTCAACAAATTTTGGTTTGCACAGTAATCAACCTCCTTCAAACACTCACCATTCCTATTAAGATATTCATTTACTCATTTGAGATCTCAGAAAACCTGCTCACTGTTCCTTTTTCTGGATTTCACAGACTAAAACCACTGACTTACTCACTATAATGGGTGCACAAATATGTTGCGCTTCAATCGAAAGTTTTCCTTGAACGGGCGGCTTACACAGTACGCTTGCTACTATTGAAATATCCAAAATCGACAACTGTGCCACTTTTTAAATGGAAAAAACGTCTGTGAAGGTAAATATCAGGATGGAAAGAAAGCTCTGGGGCACTTGTAAAAACTGAATAATTATGCATGAATTCTAAACAAAAACTATTATAACTATTCTTTAAAATAAAGGTCATCATTTTCTACGACTATGTGTCATCGGCACGTTGAGTTTCGGATCTGCTCGAAGTACCATTCTTCCGACTTTGAATAAAAGAACTCTTGACATGCCCAGTCTCAGATTCTTTTTCCAATAAAGACGCAATGAAAACGAACCTCGATTGTATCGTTGGACATGGCGGAGATTTGTAGCAATGTGGAAATAAAGACGAATAATATGTAGGCCTCCAGTGGGGAATTCCCACACAGAAGCTGTATTATTTCCATAATATGCATGGGAGTTATCTCATACTTATTCAAGTGCCCCAAAACCTTCTTTCCCACCTAGTAATTTCCTATTGATCATAACTTCGTTTAAGTGCTCGTTGCTTAGGATTACTCATCATTTGAATAAGGTGTTCAGTCAAATTGGTGCAACCTTCTTACAAAATTTGCCATAACAATTTTCGTCGTCCCTACGACCTAAACGGAAAGCAGGAGGACATGCAACTGCGTTCACATTCCTTTCGTTTTCATCACCTGTTCACTCATTGACTGTTGAGTAATTCGAGCATACATTAGTAAGCCATCTTTGAATATTCTTACTTACTGCAAATGTAGGGCCATCGCGCACTCTCCGCTGGAAGTCCATTTTGTGCGTCATATTTTTCTTTTAGAATTATCGTGAGATATTCAGGTCAACGGCCCCCGTTGCATGGTTGAATTTTGAGAATTTCTGTCGGTAACTGCTCCGTCCATCATTTGCCGTCTGAATATTCTACGTGTCCAGACGATATGAGTTTCATTAGCTTGGTTTGTAGAGGGGCGCTTTTGATTTTTGATGTTGACCTGATCATTCAAATCACTTTTCCTTCAAAACGCGAGATACTTCTAGCAGCGACTTTTGAATAAGCGTTCAATAACGTTAAGTGATCCTTCATCGTGCTAATGTAAGAACATGATCTGCGATAAATATATCACCTGTCACCTGTCGTCCCGTTAATCGTCGAGTGAGTCGAGCAGGTGCCAGCAACACTTCCATTTTTCCCTATCGCGTGCAAGAGTAGCCCAAAGAGTCCTCCTCGCTCTAGGGATTCGCTGAGCATCATTTCTTTCTCATATAGCTTTCGTGAAAAACTTGGACCAACGGGTCGGTGGTCTTCCTGTAGGGCGCTTGATGTCCCGAGGAATCCAGTCGGTAACGGCTCTCGTCCATCCGTTGTCGTTGAAGCTCATCAAGTGTCCGGCCCACCTTATTTTCGATATCCTGGCGTGTAGAACGGCGTCTCTGATTTTAGATCGTTGACGTAGGTCGGAACTTCGCATCCTTTCTCTCATTTGCGAGATACGAGATACTCTTAGCATCGACCTTTCTACTACGCGTTCAATAGCGCCAAGTAATCTTTCATTCTACTTACGTAACGACCACTTTTATGCTGCATATGTTGGAGCAGGAATAATCGTCGAGTCGAAAAGGTGGGCACGGAGTCGGATGTTCTTTGTACTCTTCACTACATCTTCGATGCTCTTGAACGTCCCTCAATCCGCTCGTTTCCTTCTGCTCAACTCTGGAGCTAGGTCGTTCACCATGTTGATTTCACGTCCTAGATATACGTAGCTGGAGCATTCGGAGATTGTCGTTCCGTTGAGCGTAAATGAGGCATTCAAAGCCCATCCGTTTTTCATTAACACCGTTTTCGTTAGATTCGGTTGAAGACCAATCTTTCCACAGGCGTTATTGAAATCGGTCAACATTTGTTCCGCTTGGCTGATGTTTGGTGTTATGAGGACGATATCGTCAGCAAAGCGAAGATGGTTTAACTGTGGACCGTCAATTTTCACTCCCATCTCGTTACATTCTAATGTTCGCAAGACATTTTGGTGAATAATTTCGGTAAAATTATATCGCCTTGTCGAGCCCTTCTTCTTACGTCTATATTGATATCATTATAGAACGGCGATGTTTTGGTTTTAAAACCTCTGAAAAGCTGACGAAGGATCGTTATGTATTGAGTAGGGCACTTTGCCTGTCCAGAACTTTTGTGACCGCCTCTATTTTCTGTAAATTAAAGGTTATCTTTGAATTGATGAAAGTAAGACAGAGCGGTCTTTTGTACTCCTTCAGTGAGTCTTGTGATTGTGTGGATGTGGTCTATGGCATCAAATGCCCTTCTTTTTCGCGAGCTTGTCCTTTGTCCAGTGTTCTATCAATCCTGTTTAAGATGACTCGAGTGAAGTCTATATAGGCAGCGAACACAAGCAGATTGGGCGATGATTGCCTATGTCGTAAAGGCCTCCATTTATGAACAACAATACGATCTTGCTAGTTTTGCATTGACAAGGGAATTTTGCATTCTGACCAGCAAAGAGTGAAGAGCTGAAAAACGGTATTGGTGAGAATTGGCGGTGTGTTCTTCAGGTGTTTTGGTCTTATCCTGTCTGAACGGTGTTGTTCTATTCTTCACCTACGATATAGAGTGTCGGATTGCTGAAGGGAGAGTCGGCGGATCGACAAATGAGCTGTAAGTGCCTGTCAAAGCGCCAAATTGCAATGATCTTGCCCTATAATATGACAAAGCTTCGGTGGGCTTTGTTAATGCTCTTCCCAGCCTCTGCAGCTTCAGCCATGACTGCTGTTCGTCGCTCTTTAAGATCTTGTTTTATCTCTTCTTTGCAGCGTTTCGCAAGATCGGACATGAGGTTTCTTTTGCCGTAGCTCACGCGATTCTACGTTGACGTATCTGTTGTATGATGCCATGTAAAAAAACGTTGCGCAAAGGAGACGATTGTACGATGCCATGAAGAACTAGGAACAACAGCGACATAGGTCAGGCAGAACTTTCGATTTACTCAGATGTGGTCTATTTCATTGTGGTGTCCTTCAGTGGGAGACTTCCACGCCCACCGCTGAGAGTGGAGCTTTTAGAACCGAAATTTTCTAATGATGGTTTTTGATCCTCATGATAGACTCTCACCTGCTCGTTCCATTCTAATCCGTGGTTCCCAACGTGACGTTCCTCAGGCGCTTTTCTAAGTCCACCTTCGGAGTTAAAATCTCCAGCAATAGCCTTGAAGAACGAATGGTCCTTGCTGAATAACTTTTGAAGGTCTATGTAGAACCCTTTGACTTTGTCTTCTCATAACTTGATGTTGGTGCATAAGCAACGAAAATGTTCAAAGCGGGCCTTGATCCACGTCGTTCAAATCGATGTTTTCTGCTGACGTTGTGTATATTTGAGTGAATAGATTGCCTGCTATTTCGACCTCTCTATGTTTTTGAAGGAGACGAAACTGCCAGAACGCTCCGCGTGAAATTAGTACATCTTGACAGCATATTCTGAGAATTCATGCGGTTTGTAGAGGGTATATATCCTAGAATCTGTCTGACCCGAAAAACACAGTGCTACTGATGACGCTGAAAGGCTGAGACACGTGCCTAGTACTTTACAAGTGTCATAACAATGCTCATCAAAGGCTCAAAATATCCTGTCAGAAACTCGCAAGCATGTGGTAACCCTTTGGGAACGGCCGTTGTTAACAGGCGGGGTCGCGCTGATCGCCTACGGCAGTCGGCGCGATCGACCTTGCAGATGGAGCACTTAATCTTCACAGTGTTGTAGTTTCGTAATAAATTGAGCTTTTTATCGTAATGAAAAAGAATTTTGCAATTCGATAATATATGTGCAGCTCTTAAGGAGCCTAATATGACACTTTCATTGCTAAACATAAGTTTCGGCGCACTTCCTTTTCCACACATTTCATTACTTCTCTAGATTTTCTTGTCTTGATAAACATATTAGTACGCATGTGTCAATTGCATCTGATATATCTGTGTTTTCTCACAGCTTTTAGAGCAGACAGGAATAAGATACTCACCAAACAAGGGAGTTGCGGTCTATATGTAAATTGTGCATGTCAGTTGGGCCTTGCAATTGAAGATCAGTGATGGAAGTCAAGAAATTTTCACTGAGGTCCCTAAACATTATGGTTGCTGTTCATACAAACACTGATACAACTTACACCTAAGAGAATTGAGTGATGCGGGAAGCGAACCCACGCTTTATCCATACCGAGGACGCTTGCTCTACCAATAAACCACCGAGGCACATTTGCCCCCCACGCCATGTTTGGTCGCGCATGCGATTTCACTTTATAAACTCAGTTGAGCTGGCCAGCCATTGTAATATCTAATACTCGAAATTTCTATTATTTCAACTGCATTTTTCGCAGTGTCATGATGGTTTCGTATATACTTAAAGGAACTGAGTGGTGAGCAAAAACACGGCCTTAGGCGGGAATTGAAACCGCGTTTTATCCAAGTCGGGAACACGTGCCCTGTTTTTGTGTTGGTCATGTTTTTGCTCACCACTCAGTTCTCTTAGGTATATATGAAATATTATAACACTGCGAAAAAATGCAGTTAAAATAGTAAAAATCCGAGTATTAGATCTAAAAATGGTTGTCAGCTCAACTGAGTTTGTAAACGAAATCGCCAAACCCTGTTGAGGTTGGGCTAATAGCTAACATAGATGTTGAAGAATGGGGGGGGGTGGGGGGGGAAGGGAAGAATGTGCCTTGGTGGTGTAGTGGTAGAGTACGCGTCCTCGGTATGGATGGAATGCGGGTTCGATTCTCGTCTCAGGCCGTGCTTTTGCTCACCACCCAGTTTTCTCAGGTATATACAAAACTTCATAACACTGCGAAAAATCCAGTTAAAATACTAGAAATTCCGGGTTTTAGTTGATACAACTGATTTCGATGAAGAGCCTACCACCTATTCTGATCGAACGAGCAATTGCAGCAAAACCGATAAATTGGTAAGAATTAAATGGTTTTTGCCATTAATCATGACCAAGAGCCTATTGAATACCATAATGATTCCCAGTTGTATCAAGTTCTTTTACTCATTTAAAATAGATTACTGCTGTCATAACTTAGCTTTCTTCAATGGAGCTGTCTTTGAAATATGATCAAATTATGAATAAAAGTTTTCCTATGTGTTTTAAATTGTGAAATGGCTTTCATGCTCGAGATGATCATAGTAATAGCGAAGTTTTTCGGCAGTGGTACGCATTTGTTTATCTGAACAATGAATAAATGAATAGATAGATAATTATATGAAATAATATGCATAGAGAGCGATACAGAGAAGGATTTATTTTGCTTGAAATTCCGTAGAGATTCTTAGGTAGTACACATGATGGTACTGCTTTATCTACCACGTGGAGATAAAATTTTTGTGTAATTTCAGAGCCAACTATCTGTTAACCTAAGCACTGATCAAGTAATTTCGTGTTTTCTTAATGAGCAGACACGATATTATTAGTAGTCAGATTTACCGGTTGTAACTCAGTTTAACATTAGGTGACGTTTTGGCGGTTTTCACACTGAAAGTGTTCAAAGAATTGTTTCCTGTACAAGCCAAAATTTGCTCATCACCTTCTAGCTCTAAGGTTAAGAAATTGTTTGACTGAGTAGATTACAAGTCAGTTTGACGTTTCCATAAACCCAAGAAGGCAAAATCGCCGAAATGTCAGCCTTTGTTAATGTACATTAGTGCATTCAACAAATTACTGTCAACATACTCCTATAATTTTTACTCACATGTAATAACACTTTACTTCAGACACTTTTTTAATCCGTCTGACAGGATTTCTTTTCACTGTGTGGATTCCGATTCCAGTACTAGCATTCAATCCGTTTTTTCGCCTTCTTCTCAAACGCAGTAGAATACTGGCTAAGTACGTCTCCTTACAATCTTAAAGAGAGCAGGCATCGGCGTTTTATACGGCGTTCAATGTTGACTGTCAAAGAGTGTTGGGGATGAAGCTCGGCTCCATACGCGCAGCGACGAGCATGAACAACCACTCTGCCCCCCACCCCCACCCTATGTTATAAGAAGTAAAATCAAATCGCGCGAGGTGTTCCGTCCTCTTTTTCTTATTCAAAATGTTTACAATGTCCTCTAGGAGTAGAGTGAAAATACATGGATCATAATGCTAACTGACGTTCTCATCAGGTCATCAGTGATCTATGATAGATAAACATCTCAGTGCTGATCAAGCGAATCTTGTTCAGAGGACGGGGCGCAGAGTGGTTGTGATGCTTGTCACAGTGCGCGTAAGGTCGAACCCCACCCCCTAACACTCTCCAGCAGTAACAACGAACGCCGTATGGAACGCGCCAGCGAGGCTATCAACGAGATTGCATGTAGACGCGCTCAAGCAGTGTTCTACGTCGTTCAAGAAGAATACGAAAAGAAGAAGTAATGCTAGAAATACTGGGATCCGCACAGTGAAAAATAAACACTGTGAAGACGGATAATAAAGTGAAAAAGTGGTGAAGTGTTCAGATGTCAAGTCACACTGATTATCTGCCCGAACATCGTGAGCTCAACTAGGTGAAAACAAAAATCTTTTTTGACCATTTTGTTTTGAGAAAAATGTGAACTAATAATGTTTTATTTCGAGAGCTGGCTTGGCTGGTTCTCTTGATTTCAGACCGTTCTCGTCAATATGCCACTGATTATGGCAATGATGAAGTAGTAACTAAAATTTACAAACAAATTTTCCTAGCGCAATTCATTTAAAGGACTGAAATTAGAATAGAATTCAGTACTTAGGTGTTTGTGAGTTTTGGTAAGTCATCGCTGCCATTTGGTTGATGTTGTATCTTCAAAAGAGACAGGCTCTTCACTTAGTGATATGTCAATTGTCCATCCTAATGTGACGGGCAGCCGTCATTGTGATGGCCGAACTTATCCACAAAGCTACGAGATGGAAGACCCAAGTGAAAACATTCTTTCAAATTCAAAACAAAAGTCGATCAAAGTTTGATGCAAAACGAAATCATTTTTTGCTCTTTCAAATAGAAACAATCTTATTAAGAAAGCATGTTTATGAAATTCCACCACTAATCAAACATTTCCGACAAATCTGGTTTTTCAACAACAAACGACAATTTCTGAATAATTAGAGTATTTAAGAAGTAAAGTTCCATAGACGTTTAGAGGGAATTTCAAGTTAACGTATCAATTACATACACTGTTCGATAAAGTAGCCTTTTGAATTTTAATTTGCAGAGAGTTAGATTCTCAAAAAAATTGGCAGCGTAATTTGAGTTTTCAGAATTTCCAGTGGATGCGCGGCAGTTGCAAAGATAAGCCACACATTGGAGAACACCGCGTCCTGCAAAATTTCAATTGATCATTGGGCTTAATGTTTAAAACCATTAGTTTAAGGATCCTTATAGTCTTCGAAGGATACGCTACCGCAGAAATATCACTCATTTGAGAAATTTTGTTATCGACAACCTAAAATCTGCTCAGAATGAACCACTAACTTAACAGTTTTGAAGCAGTAAGGTAAAGATAAGTTTTATCGTATTTTAAACAAACAACACGTAGCTTCAGAGTTTCAAGATGCCATTTATTTCCAACGCGTGCACACGTCGTCTTCAACAATATATTCATGAATTGCATTTTTTCAACAAATAATTTGGCTAACCAAACTGTGTTGAAAATCATTTGTTATGTACCTGATGAGGTTGTTTCTAGCATGATTAATAGTTTATCCAGCATCCACTACAAACAGCAGTAAATTTACGGCCGCTCGTGAAAGAACCAACTGCCTCTAGTGAACAGCTTATTCGACCATCGACTAATGGCGAAACAGCACAACGCTCTGATAACTACAAGTGCAATTTTTCTCTTCAACATGGACTGAGTTAACTTAATATGCATTTGATGAGCACATTTGTTCGTCTTGACCATCATTATGTGCTATCACCCTGATACTTAATCCAGCGTAGCGTCAAGAATAACTGGAGTAAACATTTAATGGAGTTTGTGCGAAATAACAGAAATGGAAAGTGGGCGGTTAAATCGAAAAACACATTACAATCAATAGTACTTTATACTTCGAAAATGATTTGATTTGAATGGTAACTGTGTTGAAAAGTGGACTTTCGACTGATTTTGTTCTACTGCACTCTGATCATATAATATGGATTATTTCTAGCGAAAGATGACGTTTTACGCCTAATACTACATGTCTAATGCATAAAACAAGCGGCACCGTCACTGTCATAACGGAATCTAAACGCTGTACAAGTGGAATGTCGCTATGATAAACACTTTGAAGGTGTAAAGAATATGTATAATATCATTTTGAAAAAGCAATGATATTGAAGCCACATCATTATGACTCGTTCAGAGGAACCACCCGGTCATTCCGATTGCAGCGGTGGTGTACTTGAATAAATTAGGCATTAAGGGCGCCATGCGTCCACACAATGTCAACACAGAAGCCCACCGACGTCAAACACAGCTCCTTCTCAAGTTGTCAGGTCACAGTAAAACACGGTGCCCGAAACAGTGTTCACATGAGCGGGACAAGTTTGACGAAATTTTCACATATAAAACAAACTCACAATCGTTGCAGATTCTTGTTTTCGATGAAGGCTTTATCCGGAAGAAATCGAAGACGATTTCTGTTCAACTTCCTTAATAATATGTTATGCGGTTTTCAGTACGTTAATTCTATGTAAATCAAGTTGAGTTTTTTGCGTAAAGCATTTCAAAAAAATCACAAACTCACAGTCTTTCAAGAGCTTTGAGTTCACTGAATGCACTTTCCTCAATTGATTGAATATGGTTGTCCGTAAGTTGGCTGAAACTCTTTACTTTGCCAAATTATTCATGAAACTCTTAAGAACATCAGCTACAAAACCTACAGTATCTTTAGGTGCTTCAAAGATCGAAAATCGTCACGTCTTAACACTGTAATTTGATTTTCTTGTAAATCTCTAAAATTGCAAAATTAACTCTTAAAAAATACACTGATGCTTTTAGATACTTATTTTTTATATGAGAAGACTAGTGGTGCTTATCCATCAATCAGGTCTATTAAGTTCTATCGGTATTGTAAACCAATCTTTCTCCATCACGCATGCTCGCACCACATTCTTATCTTAATCATTAGCCCAACGTTGAGAATAACTGAAATATTCTTTCATCAATCTTCTCAATATTCGCATGATACCAGCCCAATTTCTGCTATTTTACCAGTGTGAGGCTATCAATATTATGAAGGATTGAAGTCGTAACTCTTGTGACAACGTTAACATTTGATCGTCATGATTAAAAGATGTAGATTCAGCCCTTACATGACTTCTACGAATACGGTAAGCACTTCAAGTACTGATCTACCAGCAATCCCACATTTTGAAACAACAGAGTAAAATTGAATGTGAAACAGAAAACATACAATCTAAGCGTACTGGATGGTATATTTGCCGGAATTCTTGTTAGATTCAATCTAGGGCAAACGACGATATTTATGGTGCATGAACATCCTGCTGGACACGCAAGTGCTTGGATGAAGTGGAATAGAAGGGAAGACAGTAAAAAGCGATATGTGAGCCATTTTTACTTTCAGTAACTCACACATATGACTGTAACTCCAATACTGAGGTAACTTCCCCGTTAAGATTAATCATTGAAAGTGAAGTTGGCGTTTAAATTTGATAGGAATAGCGGGGAAATGGCAGGACAATACAGGGAAGAATTAGTCTTATCACTGCAGAGAAGAAAATTTGCTGTACTGGGTATGCTGATGTCGCTTGGTGGAATCCTGTGATACTAGC